GTGTCAACAGTCGAAAACGTATCAAAGCAGTAGTGCGTACATACAATAATCAATCTATGCGTTTTCGGTGACAACGAAAACTCATACTTTTGAAAACACATTAGTGTGAACAGGGCCTAAGTGTGTATCTCTAAGACGGTGGTGGCTCGTTCGATAAATGCGCAGCGGATATGCCTCAAATTGTACCTGCAGTCAGGCAGGATGATAGTGCTCAAAGAGTGGTGTGCTGGTGGGCACATTTCGACTAAAAAAGAGCTATCACACACAATTAGCCCGAAAGAAAGTTCAAATAATGACCGGAGTGTACCTAGAAAAAGGTCTGGGGAATCCCAAAATTACTCCAAAAAAAACTAATAGTAAAAAAGCCGCTCGAGAGAGACGGGGTGGGTGAGAATATAACTCTAACATAGTTTTCCTGGTGAAGATGTCCGCTAGTTTTTTTATTTTCTGCCCCCACACTTTAGGGATTGCTTCATGCATAATATTTTGCACAACATTTGGCAGCTAAAACTGAAATTGATTTCAAGTTAGTGTAGGACTATTACTTCCCTATTCTTTTTTTCCTCTGGAGCATTTTCTTCGCCTCCACGCAGAGTCCAAACGGTTGAAACGGGCGTGCCGTTGGACAACCTTACGATGACGTGGCAACCAAAAATTCTCCCACCGATGGTTAATTTTTTTTTAGCAATGCGGCTTCTTTCCGCCCTTTGCGCCCAGATGCTTCATCACCAAAGATAACGGATGTTTTGAATTAATGCAAATTTTTTCTACTTTATAACTGGCTATTTACAAATTAAAGTGACATATCTGTATTTGCATTTTCTGACCGACGGTTATGGCAAAGAAATTAATCTACCTAAACCAGTTCGAGAAATATGTGAAAATGCAACATTTTCTAAACACACCAATTCGTCAGTAACATAGGGAGCTTAATTATATGGGCAACCTCCACGATAACGACAATGAAATTGTCACTGAAAAATGAATTTTTGTTATTTGAAAATTTATCTAGTTTCTTTAGCTTCTCTCAATTAGTCAAATATAGGCAAACTTCCCTGGGGTTGAATTCTTAAACGCTTTATTCAAAAGGTTTCTTCTTTTGGACAGGTCGTTTCGACTAGTTTAAATAAAAACAAAAGTAAGCTGTTTCAAGTTAAGTTTAACATACCTGGAGCTGTTAACAGGAAAGATGCATGAAAGAAGGCGCTCCAAAAATCGCACCAAACAAATCTCCTATCCAGCAGCGATGCCATATTGAAAAAATGGTTTTGTTGACGCCGTCAACCGGTGTCACAGTCTTTGATTCTGCTTTCTTCGAATTCGTTTTACCTGTTCGGTTTTCACAATAAAGTACATTACTTTTTTGTCAAGGCTCAACGAAAGTGCATCTGCTGAGGAAGACGATGAAACAAGAGCATTAAGCGCAGCCAATCAGGATCTATTTGCTATCTAACGCTTGTTACGTCAGGCTTATAAGTCCTAATTGCACATATGTTTACTTAAATAGAGACAATTTTAGTTTCGGCGTTGTTTAACTCCTTAATTTAGCAAAGTTTAATATTCAACAAATAGACTGCATGTTGCCTTGCGTCTATTCAGTAATCGGGCAAACGCGCGCGCTCAACATGACTCTGTCCCACTTTATCAAATTTCACCTTTTCTTGTAATTTGCTTTTCGTTATGTCTATACAGAAATCAGTATTTCAATTCATGCCAGCTTCATTCGTAAGAATTTTATTCCGGAAAGTTTTGCTCATTTATAATTCGAAAAACTGTCAACTTGAATCTGACATTAGCCGTTAAGGAAATGGACCAGGACCCCAAATTTGACGATTTGGTATCAAAAGAGGGATAAAGAAAAGCCTTTTTTTAAAGACATGAATCTTCTATTTTATTTTAATGAATGATAACCGAGTCAAATGAGTACTTTTATAGGATCTATCACGTGATAAAGAGCAGTCACTCAGCTTTTTTAACATGTTGAATAAATATACATACAGGGTAAAAAAGAAAGCTTTTAACTGCATTTGTTTACTCATGTTTTGAGGACAGGTTTAGATGATTGCATGGTACCAATGTCTTCCAAGTGATTTTCGAGGCTTTTGTAGCAAATTAGATGGATTTTGGTGATGGTTGCCATGGTAAAGAAGAAATTTAGCCTTTTGGACCAGAAGGCCGATAAATTAGGCCGATAAAGGCTGTGAAATGATAGTTCTATATAGAAAACAACTAGATAATAGCTAGTCTCAGGTGCCAGTATAGCTACCAATGGCGCTGCCATCTTTAGATTTTCAAACATGCCAATTTGTCCCCTAAACTGCCACAAACAATCAAAACTGAAGGGAGCATGCTTAAAAAAATTCGTCATAATTCCAGTGAAAGAAGTTGCTCTCAAAACTATAAACTGCAAAACCATAGATGCAAACTCTCCTGCTTTTTTTTTTTTGCGAGAGATTTCTCAATGTCTCTTCTAGAAGTAATAATTACGAGTTTTCCGTGAAGTCATGCTTTTTCGATGTTGACGTGCTAAACAGTTATATATAAGTCCTATCAAAATTACCATTTGTTTT